CATTAGAGGGTTTTGCACAAGGTGGTGACATGATGAGATCTGTACTTTTGACAAAAATCACTCTGGCATCATCTATATTGGCTCTAATCCCGTAATTAGTTCATCGGAACACCTTGGAGGAGAAAGTGCCGTTGACATGAAATGTTCTCATACTTCCTTTTCAAGCCACTGATACCAGATGGCACGTTAAGTGATCCGGTTTCATAGACAATGTGCTGGAGGAAGCAGTCTCCCGTAACCAGTGTCACGTCAGTTAAATCTTACTGTCGTCAGGATCATTGCTTCCCTGATGGTGGGTTTCCATAGATGTTGTCAGATTGTTACCTACCACCATGATTATCTCATCATGGGAGGACTTTCCGGCTTCAGTCAGATCAGATCATCTCCAGCAGAAAAATTCAGGCTCGTAAGATAGTGGAAGATGGTGGAGTGCTGAACCAGGCGCCTTCAGAGACCAGAGCATCATTCCTGGCTCTCCCACACCCTAGCCAAGGGACTTAGATCCGGTTAATTTCCCAGACCCACGCTGTCTTTAGCTGTCAAATGGGCTTTATAAGCCCTCCCTACCTGCAAAACAATCCTGAGGATCAAACATTAAAAGATAGCACTTTGAAAACTCGAACTTATCACACAAACCCAGAGCTGACGTTCGTTTTCCCCTTAGGATTCTCGTCAGCCCTGCGCAAGGGTGGGTTAGGAAAGAGGAGCTATGGAAGTGTCAGTGGTTTGCTTTCGCGGTCTTCCGTGGTTCTTTTTTCTGACTATGCAAAGCTTTAGAGGTTGTTCTGGTATCCAGGCAACGTGTTGCCTCCACTTAGCCCATGCAAAGTCCTGAATTAAAAATAGGTTCTGTTTCCCTGTGTTCCGAAATCTAGAGCTACATGTTCTAAAGGAGTCAAAGGTCCCTGGTGGAGCTCGAAGGGAAAATGGTCATGTCCTAGCGCTGTGAGAGCATCAGCCAAGTCCTACAGAGAACACTGGAGAGGCTGAGTGTGTGTGGAGCCACGGACTTGTTTCTGGGTCGCCGGTCTGTTGGCTGGAATCCCGAAGGACCGAAGAAGGGCTTATGGCGCGCAGTTTGCAGGGAAGGAATGTGCTGGTCGTCCAAGAGGAACCACTAGCCCTATACACGGGTTCTTTGTCACCATCATGGTTTACTAATCTGCTAACCAGAGACACTCCAGGTAGCATTTCAGTTCTACAGTTTTAAAGCACATCTTACGCGTGGCCGTGTTAGAAAATACGACAGCACGGCCCATCCGCTTGCCGTGACTGCTGCCCGCTGGGAGAACTTGAGGTACTGGGTGGCGCCTTTACTGCTGGTGACTCAAGAAACCACATGCCCAGTGAACACAGACATTCCCAGGAAGTGGGCAAGATGCTTTTTAATTCTCTACAAATGCATGGGTGCCAAAGCATCGGATGTTATGTGGAGGTGGGGAGAAGGAAACCTCAAGACTTCATCCTTCCCTTGGCAGCAAAATACCACACACACCCCCCACCACCGTTGCTGGTGGTGACATTAACAAGTGACATTGACCCGTATTTATACTGGTTTACCAAGCGGTTTACAGCTTTTCTTAGGTTGACTCATGGTTGGGTGTGATTAGAAGCAAATAAAATATTTCAGCCCTGGCTTATTAAAAGGAATGGCTTCCACAGAACTCCTTCCTCTGCTGAAGTCAAACAGCTAGCTTAAGAGGGAACTTCAGACTTGCATCCCAGGCTCATTTTGGGAGTGGGGATGGGGGATGAAAAAACAGATGTGGAAGCATCGTGGGCTTTGCAGCCAGAGTGCCATATGCTAGCGATGGGAGTGGGACAAGTCACTTAACCTCGCTGCGCCTTAAATCCCCACCTGTAAAAAGGGCAAAATCAGGGATTTTGACCTGATAGGTGACGGTGTAGTTGCTTATAACTTGGACTCCCCACGTGTGAGTTCCACTTGCACCTCGTCACTAGCTGTGTAAGGATAAAAGCACTCAGAAGAGTGCCTGCCACTCAGTGAATGCTCCGTATGTCTGCGCTACGATTACGACAGATTGTCATTACGATTATTATCCTTGTGCGTCAAGTACCAGGCGCGAAGTGTTGATCGAAAAAATACGAACTTTTGTTACCATTTCTGTTATGTCTCCCATCAGAGCACTTGAATTTTAAGGAGGCAGAAAGGAAGGTAATAGCATCACAAGTGTGTTTTTTGGTTTAACTAAACAGACGTCAACAGAGCCCTTTCCTGAATCTTATTCCTTTGAGGATTCAAAATTTACTCTCATGCCATCGGAGAAAGATTTGTCCAATGTTCCTTAGAACAAGAGCGAATTCTTGAGCCTCACCCCAGACCTTCAGAATCAGAAAGTCTGGAGATGCAACCCATCAGTCTGCTCTTGATTTTGGCTTGGGTTGGCCATGCCCGTTGACTGTTTTTTAAGACTGTTTTTTTTTAGAGTAGTTGTAGGTTAACAGAAGCATTGAGAAGGTTCAGCGATTTCCCACATGCTCTCTGCCTCCCACTATCAACATCCTCCCCCACAGGGTTGGGTTTGTTACAATGGATGAACCTACCTTATCACGTGGAGTCCATAGTTGACATCATGGCTCGCTCGTTATGTGTGTTCTGTGGGCTTAGATACCTGTGTCACGGCATGTAGCCATCATTACAGTATCATAAAAGGTGTTTTCCCTGCCCCGAAAACCCTCTGTGTTCCCCCTGTCTTCTCCCAAACCCTGGCAACCGTTGCTGCTTTTCCTGTCTCTGTGGTTTTGCCTTCATCTTTTTTAAGTATCTCCATGATTCTCATGCTTCCTAAAATTTGAAAACACCAGGTATAGACTTCTGCTGCTTTGACCACCTTCTGTAGTTGGGGTTCGAGGAGAGGGTGGTCAAGAAACCATTGGTTATACTCCCTCATCTGTATGACAGGTGTCCCGGCCCCAGAAGGACTAGAGGACTGAATTAAGCAGAAATACCGAGAGTTCCGGGTAGCAGTCAGGGGTGGGGATGGACGAGCGCTTTGAGAGCACAGGACTCTGTTGATAGTTCTGGAACAGAACACGTCGGGGTGTCGGGTCCTCTGGAGAGTGCTGATGTCATATCTTGGGCCATACTGCTCTGAGTGATGGATAGAAATGCCTTTTGAATTTGTATGTGAGGTTAAAGTGAAGAAAATCCATTTCAGTCTTCCGAAGTCAGAGCTCTTGGTACAAAAGGTCACTGATGCCAGTTGGTGGCATTGCAGAACTCGGGGAGCGAGAATGAAAATAGCAAACTTTTTTGTTTTTGAAGCCTAGTTGCCCTGGGGGCTTGAGTCCCAGTCTTTCGCCATCTTGCTGCCCTGGAATCTTGAAGAGGCGTGTGGAAGAAGAAAAACACCGAGCCACTCTCTGCCTCCTCTAGGAAGGAGGGCAGGGAGTTGTGCTCAGACTAGGGGGGATATCATATTTGCAGTGGGGTGAACAAGCCACCAAATGATGACTCCGCGGGGAAGGGTTCGTAGAGTTGTAGAGTGGAAGTGACTGAGCAGCTCGGATCGATCCTGGCCTCTGGTTTGATCCTTGATCCTCAGATTTCCTGAATCGTGGAGATAATCCCTTCTTAAAGGCTTCAAAACTGGCTGTATGCACACAGCTCGCAGACGCTTTAAACCTATTTGGATGCCGTTCTGTGATCACAAGCAAAGGACATACAGAACCAAGCTAGGTCGTATATCCTTTCCACCCCACCCCCAACACTGGTGTCCTCTAGCCAAAGTGCTGTGATCCACAGTCACCTGAGGTTGAACCCCAGACAAACCACTGCAAGCACAGGGCTAGGTCCCCAGTAATCACTTGGTGACTTCACCTGAAATGGCCACACTTGCACAAACATTGAGAAGCATGCCTTCTGGGGCGCCTGGCTGGCTGGCTGTTAAGTGCCCAACTTCAGCTCAGGTCGTGATCTCGCGGTCCGTGAGTTCGAGCCCCGCATTGGGCTCGGTGCTGACAGCTCAGAGCCTGGAGCCTGCTTCGGATTCTGTGTCTCCCTCTCATTCTGCCCCTCTCCCTCTCTCTCCCAAAAATAAACAAACATTTAAAAGATTAAAAAAAAAAGAGCATGCCTTCTAATTTTCCTAAATTGAGTTACTTTGCTATTTCTCCTATTTTATTGGCTAAAATGACACACACACACACACACACACACGTATGTGTATGTATGTGTACACATATATGTATATACATTATTCCCCAATAATGCATATACATTATTCCTACACAGGTCAGTGTAGGAAATTGTGATTGTGGATTCATGGCAAAACTAGTAAGCAATTTCCAAATTAAATTTTATCCGAAGATTCAAATTACTTTTTGCTGTCTCATTTCTCGTGAAGATAAAGTACTCCTCTTGAGGGGGCCACCTGCGTGGCTCAGTGGGTTGAGCATCCAACTCTTGGTTTTGGCTTAGACCATGATCCCAGGGTCAAGGGATCAAGCCCCGCATCCAGCTCTATGCTGAGCCTAGAGCCTGCTTGGGATTCTCTCTATCTTCTTCTGCCCCTCTCCCCCACTTGCGTGCATGCGCACGCTCTCTCACGCGCTCTCTCTCTCTCTCAAACTAGATAAGCAAATACACTTCCTGATCCATAGGTGTGTTATAGAACTTCAGATTTTTAAAAAATGTGACTATACCATTTCTTTTTTGGTACAAATTAGAATACCATGTGTTGAAAGCATCCTACCAAATTTCTAAGCTCTTACTAACAGAAAGGTGGAGATTTGGGACTGTAATTTGACCTTAGAAATATTTGTAGGAAATACTACCACAAGAATAATTTCATATCAAGAAGGGTCCTTAATAGGCTCACCGTCAGAAGAAGGAACCGGTCCTGTTTCCAAACCCAGCTTCCACACAGTTGAGGAACAAGAAAGAAAATCTAACCCCCTTTTCCTGTTTCTGCTGCTTGTGACTTTGAACAAGGCCCTGACTATTGAGGCTGACCCTGAGACCCTTGTTTTCTTTGCAGACTGCATCATCTGCTATCAAAGGTGCTATTCAGCTGGGGATAGGATACACCGTGGGTAATCTCACTTCCAAGCCGGATAGAGATGTTCTCATGCAAGACTTTTACGTGGTGGAAAGTGTGTTCCTACCCAGGTAAGAACATTTCTCTTTGTGAGGATTTCCGTGCTAAAGAACCTTCCTGGTGACCTCTCCACATTGAAGACTTTCCTACCAGTGAATGGGTACATGCACGCGTTGGGTCTTTAACAGGCCCAGACGCAGCACCAAGGATTGTCACTTTCCCTTGTGCCACGTGGGTTGCGTTTATTTTTATAGGGAGACGTTAAGTAGGTTCTATGTAATGATGGTAACGCCTGGAAGATTGTATGAAGATTTGAGATTCGATGGGAAGGAGTGCAGTACTCAGAGTAATGTCTGCGTTGTGTTAGAAAAAGAGGGCATCCGCTCTGGAAAACAGTGTGGAGGTTCCTCAAAAATTAAAAATAGATCTACCCTAAGACCCAGCAATAGCACTGCTAGGAATTGACCCAAGGGATACAGGAGGGCTGATGCATAGGGGCACTTGTACCCCAATGTTTACAGCAGCACTTTCAATAATAGCCAAATGATGGAAAGAGCCTAAATGTCCATCAACTGATGAATGGATAAAGAAATTGTGGTTTATATACACAATGGAGTACTACGTGGCAATGAGAAAGAATGAAATATGGCCCTTTGTAGCAACGTGGATGGAACTGGAGAGTGTTATGCTAAGTGAAATAAGCCATACAGAGAAAGACAGATACCATATGTTTTCACTCTTAGGTGGATCCTGAGAAACTTAACAGGAACCCATGGGGGAGGGGAAGGAAAAAAAGAGGTTAGAGTGGAAGACAGCCAAAGCATAAGAGACTCTTAAAAACTGAGAATAAACTGAGGGTTGATGGGGGGTGGGAGGGAGGGGTGGGTGGGTGATGGGTATTGAGGAGGGCACCTTTTGGGATGAGCACTGGGTGTTGTATGGAAACCAATTTGACAATAAACTTCATATATTGAAAAATAAATAAATAAACACATCTTCCAAAGTTTAAACAGAAAAAGAAAAAGAAAAAGAGGGCATCTGAGAAGCAACGGCTGATGCCAGGATTTTGCGGCCTGTCATTCACAAGACGGGCTGGGGGCCCGCAGTTGGGCCTCATATCTGGGTTCAGTCGCGTAGCTCTTCCTCCGTGAGGCCTTCAACTTAGCTCTCCTCCAGAAAACTTAGGAGAATCCCGCCCATTTGACACCATAGGTGGTGTCAAAAACACCCCGGTTGACCATACAGGTCACCTCCAACTCGATCGTGTTTTGGGGGGGAAATCCGTTCAACAAATAAATCTGGGGCGGATGGTGGAGACAGTTGCGTATCTGTGTGAATACACGCGGTGCCACTGACCACTTACAGGTGGTTTAAACGGTAAGGCTTCTGTTACGTATTCTTTACCAAAAGAAAGCAAATAAGTTAAAATGTGTTAAGTCTCGTGCTAGCTTAGGATAGGAAGAGAAGTAATTGTTATTAAATTGGAAATGTCCCCGCGACTGCAACGGCCTAGCAAATAAAAATTCAGCTATTTGACTTGGGGGTGCACGGCAGTCGCTTTGTCTTCAGGGCTCTGTGGATAAATGTGTAAGACACAGTTACATTTTAAAATATAAGTATTGCTCCCCAAACTAAGCCACTTTTGGTATCAGTTGTTACTTACTGGGCTCGGGTGAGAATGGCTGGGGAGAGCCTTTGACCCTCAGTATCTTCGTTGCTTTATTTTTTTTTTAAGTCTTCAGGGAAATGGTACTTAAGTTCATCTCTACATCCAGTTGTCAGCTGTCCCGAAATCAACCCATTAGGTGGTGAACCCAGACAGCCTAGTTTTGCTTTAAATGCTCTTGGTTGAAGAATACAGTGGGTCTATCAGGAATTTTGAAGGTTGCTTCTCTAGGGTCCTGGGCAGCCACCAGAGCTAGTTTCCAGACAGTGAGAACAGTGACAGGTGCTCCATCTCTGCTGGTCTCTTCTACCCACCGTGTCCAATCAACAGAGCCAGCTTTGGACGGGCCCCACCCACATCAACTGAATCAAGAACTTCAGGGATGGGCCCGAGAAATCTATTGAACCATCCTTCCAGGACATTCTAAGCACATAATTGTTGGAGAACCGCTGACCTCGCGTGTGACTTCCCATGTGACAGGGATGATCTTTCTCGTAACTACCAAATTTTGTTCTTGGAGTTCTTATGTGATTTTTGCAACTAATGTTAAACTCTGTATGACTTTTCAGCAAACACCTAAAGTATCAAAATTACATCTGTGTCCCAAGTAAATTATGCGTGACACTCTATGAGATACTTTACAACAAGGAGCGTGTGACTAGGTTTTCATGAGCTCTTTCTTGGTGCCATGAATCCTTCTGTTCATGGATGATTTATTAAAAGCATACTGTATCTTGATGATTAAGGCAAAACGAGGTCTCCTTTTTCTTCAGGAGTAGAAAAGCCAACAGTGTCCATGCCTAGAATTTGTGTCTTTGACCTTCACCCTCTAGACCGCGGAGAAGCATCAGCCCCTGTGTGGCACCCATGTCGCTGGGGGAGGGGAGGCTTAGCTAATGACCCTATTGGGAGGAACCCACTGTCACTTAAAATGTATCATTTTAACATATATATAGCTTTTTAAGTGTCAGTGTGATAGGAAGCATTTGATGCAGACAAGAATTTCTTTTAGCAAATGCCATATTGTTGTTTTTTTTTAAATAACATACGCACTCTGGATGTGTTTCCATGAAAACAGAAGAAACGGATGTGGGTCTTGCCTCAGTTTCCTCATCTGGGCTGTTCGTTAATTTTGCCAAGGGACTGAGCCCAGCTCTTCTCAGTGGCGGTGGTATCGGCTCTTTTGGATAAGACAACACTTTGTGCCAGGGTACACGTGTTAGGATATTTGTCACCCCCGAGGCCTTGCCAGTAATATCTATCTCTTGGTTACTCTCGCAGCCACAAAGCTCCCACAGAGTGATGAGTCAATTCAGTACCTTGGCCATGGTGACCGTTTCATGGATATAGACCCCCTGTGAAAATTAACAAACTGTACTTTATGTCAGCTACACATCCGTAAAGCTGCCAGATAAAGTTTCCTCCCTGCCCATCCATAAACTCCCACACTTGCCTGGAGACAGGAGGAAGGGGGAGGAGGTGGGCAGGACTGTCTCTGACCGTCCAAGTCTTTGATGGCTCTAAAACGCAATGAATCTATCTGGGTCATAGAGAAAAGTCATTGCATTGGGTGTCTTGAGATGTTCTTGTTACTGCCACTGTCTCCCTTAGCAACGAAATGTGTCATGTTTGTTTGTTTACTTATTTCAAAGTGGCTCACAGTTATTTTTAGATATTATATCCTGTTCCACACATCATTTCATTTTGTAGATGGAAAAAAAAAGCCTCTGGACTTGGGATTTGAAGGATGATAGAAAATCCCTTTCAACAGGGGCTCCTGCGTGGCTCAGTCGGTTAAGCGTCCAACTTTGGCTCAGGTCATGATCTCATGGTTTGTGGGTTCGTGCCCCGTGTCGGGCTCTGTGCTGACAGCTCAGAGCCTGGATCCTGCTTCGGACTCTGTGTCTCCCTCTCTCTCTGCCCCTCCCCTGCTCGTGCTCTGTCTCTAAAAAATTCAATGAAACGTTAAAAAAAATTGTTTTTAATCCCTTTCAACAATCTGGTCCCATGATCTTCCAAAGTCAATGTAGATTAGTAAGAGAGCTATGACCACATTTTAATCTTTTGACCCCAGGTTCTGCAGTGCAGTCAGAAACTCACAGTTGTAGATAAAATGGCATGTGTAAAGGGACTAGGAAGAAAGAGGAGGATGTTTTCTAATGTTTAGCCATGCAAACATGACCCTGACATGGCAAAAGGAAGCAAAATTGATGAGTGCCAGCCATGAACCACCCGTAGTTTAACTGACATAACATTTATATGATACAGCATATAGCATTAACTTATTGTTACTATCTTTCAACTTTACCAAAAAATCCATTTTACAGATGGAGTAACTGAGGCCCGGAAACAGGAAGTGTCTTAACCCAAAGCTGTACAACCAATAAATGGTGATGTCAGGATTTGAACTCGGGGATGGCCGACTCCAAAGTTTTGTTTTTCCTTACACCGTGGCAAGAAAGCACAGTAACAATAGTTCTGCTTGTTTGAATCAGAGAAAGTACCCAGCTTCCACCTTAGAAAGTTTTCCCTCCAGCCCCTTGACAAGCAGCTTTAATACTGTCCTCCGTTCCCCTTCAGGAGACGCCATCCCGGCTTTGTCTGCAATGGAAAATAGGGCTTGAAAGCTGGCAGTAAAAGTTTATATATCTTTCCATATTCAAGAGTAATCATCTACCCAAAGAATTTATAAAAGTCTCTTGCATTTTAATCTCCTCCCTCATAAAATGGAGTTCAGTTTGGCGAACACAGATTGCTCTCTGTATGCACCCTTGGGGGTGGATGGGAATAGCCAAGTGATACCCTCATTGGGCAGAGAATTACCCAGAACTGCTGTGAGGGTGCGACATTTTTCTACGGGACAGGCAAACATAGAGGTCAACAGTTCATGTGAGCGTTGCCAGATTTCAGTGCTAGATGTTAAGGTTTTGACAGATGAGGCAACTGCCTGCGTTTCAAATAATACTGACGTAAACTCATCCAAGAACCCATCTCTCTCTACCATGGGTCAGCACACTCCAGCCCGTGGGACAGACCTGGCTCCCTGCCCCTTTTTGTTGGTAAAGTTGCCTTGGAACACAGCCACATCCATTCATTTACATATTGTCTGTTTTCCCACCACAGCAGTAGAGCTGAGTGGTTGCAACAGAGATTCTTTTTTTTTTTTTTTAATTTTTTTTTTAACGTTTATTCATTTTTGAGACAGAGAGAGACAGAGCATGAATGGGGGAGGGTCAGAGAGAGAGGGAGACACAGAATCCGAAACAGGCTTCAGACTCTGAGCAGTCAGCACAGAGCCCGACGTGGGGCTCGAACTCACGGACCGTGAGATGATGACCTGAGCCGAAGTCGGAGGCTTAACCGACCAAGCCACCCAGGCGCCCCACAACAGAGATTCTTAAAGGATTGCCAGCCCCTCGTCGGTACAGACATTTTCTAGCCCATCTTCTGTGTGGGTGGATAACACACAAATCATCAAAGAGGATGCGTGGCTGTTTCTGGACAAGCCAACCAGGATGATGTCCTTTCAAGTCAAAACTCTTCAAATATTCGTTTAACATTTATGGGGTAGGGACGGGGAGATACCTATTTCCTACTCATAAAAGGCGCATACCTCTTCCTTTAGTTCCAGATAAAAGGTTTATTGTGTGTAGTGATTGTTATATAACATTGTAACTTACTTGAAATTGCCTTTAAACACGATTTCCCAGGATGGTACCAACTACTTGGGAAGTTCAGCATATAGACAGTGATATCCCGTGTTCCAAGTACATGACAGCCCAGGATGCAGTATTTGGTTGTGGAATTTAAGCTGCTTCCATCTGCTGATTTTTAAAGATTGGCTGTTAGCTGGCTGGCCTTAAAAGATGGTGTGGCCTTCTGGGTGTCTCAGTCGGCTAAACGTCCGACTTCGGCTCAGGTCATGATCTCACGGTTCGCGAATTCAAGCCCCGCGTCGGGCTCTGTGCTGACAGCTCGGAGCCTGGAGCCTGCTTCGGAGTCTGTCTCTCCCTCTCTGTCTATACCTCCCATACTTGGGCTCTGTCTCTGTCTCTCTCTCAAAAAATAAATAAAACACTTTAAAAACGTTTATTAAAAAACATTACTTCTGAATGTGTCTGTGATGATTTCTCCACAGGAAATTTGCATTCAAATCACTAGACTGACCCAGGATCACTTCATCGGTTTCGTGTGGGCCCGCATGGAACCGAAAGGTAGAGGAAGGGCAAATTCGCTCCCTGCCGGAGCTGGACAGGCACCTTGCCCTGCCTGCAGACGTTAGCACTCCTGCTTGGGCCTTCTGGCTCGGGCCAGGACTTCCATTGGCTCACCTGGTTCTCAGACCTTCAAGGTTGAGCTGGAACTGCTCTACCAGCTTTCCTGGGCCTCCGGCTTACAGGTGGCAGATGGTGGGACTTGTCCCCCTCCATAATCACGTGAATGAGTCTGTCCCCCAGGAGCTGCTGGCCAGCTCCTTTTGCCAACAGCCTCCAAACCCCCTATTGTCAGTTACAGCTTGAAATCAGCAAATCCACCCGATATAAAACGCTGCCTCGGAAACAGCAGAGCTCTAGCTCTCGGCTCCCAAACTGGAGCCCCCCTTTTGTGCCCTGCAGATGCCAAGTTAGTTTCACCTTATTGCTTAGCACCAACCCTCTGCTCCCAATGCCACCCCAAATAGTGCGTATCAGGCTGTGGAACCACGTCCAGGAAGCTAAGGTGTTCCCAGCGCATCCAGCTGAGAATGTTCTTGTGGCCCATCAAGCTTCTGTAAGTACAATTCTGCCCCCCGTGACCCCACAGTGTGAGGTCCTCCTGGAGAAGAAGAGCTGGTGTATTTGGGCAGGGGCTACTCGGAAGCCTGCAACTGAATCGTGAAAAGGAGGACTTACCCTAGGAACGTCAAGTATAAGTTAAAGCGTACCTATCTGCCTATGACTTTCCCACGGCTCTGGTGTGAATCTAATGTCCTCATCTTGTTTGTTCTTGACCAGCTTAGGCCATTACTTTCCCTCCCTGGACTTTGTTTTTTTTTCTTTTACCTGCTAAATGGGAATCGCCAGGTAGTGGCTAGTGCTTCCTTCAGACTTCAACATTGTGTAATTCTAAACGTCCATTGCCACTAAGAAATACGTTTTTGTAAATTTGTTTAATGTGTATCTTTGAGAGACAGGGAGAGACAGAGCACCAGCAGGGGAGGGGAAGAGAGGGAGGGAGACACAGAGTCCGAAGCAGGCTCCAGGCTCTGAGCTGTCAGCACGGAGCCTGACACAGTGCTCGAACCCATGAACCATGAGATCAGGACCTGAGCCAGAGTCGGACGCTTCACCGACTGAGCCACTCAGGCATCCTGAGAAATACATATTTTTAGATTTAATAAGAGCAGTGGTGGGGCGCCTGGGTGGCTCAGTCGGTGGAGCAACCAACTCTTGGTTTCAGCTCAGATCATGATCTCACAGTTGTGAGATTCTCGCTTAAGATTCTCTCACAGTCTTGGTCCCCCAACTGCATAAGAATAAGCCATTTGAAGAAAAACACCAAGGACTAGAACATGGGGGTTTTATCTTACTGTGTGAACATTGAAGCTAATGTCATGCATTCTAATGGAATTAATGACTTTGATTGCATGAGCTATCAAGGACAGAAGAGGGTGGAAGAAATAAGAAACTGGCAACACTCTTAGCCCCCTGAAAGCAGCCCAATTCGGAACCCAAGGATCTGTATTTGCTTTTACTTGTTTGCAAGGGGGCAGAGGCATGTCAGTGGTCACTTTGAGCCTCTTTGATTTTCTCTCTTATTTCTGCCCAGCCAGCATTTTCAAGTTACTCCATGTCCTAGGAGTTCCAGAATTATTCCTCTTGACAATCCCATAGGACCTGGAACTGAGTACATGTCCCCTGAGACGTCTCAAAATACGGACTGAGGAAATGTTCCGATGCGATGTCCGGGCAGCACATGTGCATTGTGAATATTCAACTATCCTCGCTTCAGGAAACAGCAACTGTTCAGATGAGTAGGTGATTTCGGGCCGTTTCACACACCGAGCTGATGCAGAGGTGACGGCTCTGATCCCAGGCAGTCCCGGTCCCTGCACCACTGCCCTGAAGGGCAAGCCTTGCTGCTGCCCTAGTGCAAGCTTCACCTCTACAGATAAGATGTATTATCTGATGTCAAGCCCTGACAATACAAGCCAACTACTTCCGCTGGAAGTCACCAGAAGAAGCAGTCATCTGTGACCATGCGAGAGGAAGAACTGGCCCTAGTGGATATATTGAATAGACAATCTCCTAAATAGCTTTCAAGGGTGATTTTTGACGATGATGGGGTTTTTTTTTAACTAATTAATTTTGAAATTCCAGTGTAATTAGCATACAGTGTTATGCTGATTTCAGGGGTACAATATAGTGATTCAGTAATTCTATGCATTAGTCAGTGCTCATCAGGATAAGTGTACTTTTTAATCCCCATCACCTATTTCACCCCTGCCCCCACCTGCTTCCCCCTCGGGAGACCATCAGTTGTCTATAATGAAGAATCTGTTTCTTGGTTTGTCTCTTTTCTTTGTTCGTTTGTTTTGTTTCTTCAATTCCACATAATGAGTGAATTCATACGGTATTTGTGATTCTCTGACTTGCTTCACTTAGCATAATACTCTCTAGATCCATTCACATTGTTGCAAATGGCAACATTTCATTCTTTTTATGGCTGTTATATTCCATTGTATCTGTCTATATCTCTAGACTATAGTGATTTTCCTTTTTTTTTTTTACCTTACCTGGTGAGTTTTGAACCTAACCTTCAGGTAAGAATCAACTTTACTATTTTACCATTTGTCTTAAAAACTCACTGTTTTATTCAGAAACTACTTACTGTCAGTGATGTGCTGGGTACCGATACAAAAATCTGGCTGCCATGGACACAGTTAAACTGTTGTAGGGTCCAAGTGTTTGTTGCATGCTGAAAGCGTTTTTCTTGCACGGGCTTACTCGTATCCATAAAAATTAGACCATGACAGAGTTGCCTTAGAGCCTCAGTGACCCACTTAGAATGTGGTAAAGAGAGATCTTGACCCTCTCTACAAAATTGTATTAATCTACTGAATTGTTCTCATTTTTCACAATGAAAACTTTTAAGTACAGGTGGATTAGGTGGCTTGTCGGATGTTGGGTGAGATATATTATAGTTGTAGTCAAAGACTAAAATGAATAATAAACATCAAAATTCAGGCTAGTGGATGCCTCTAAGGAGAAAGAGAGTTTTATGATTAATAAAAAGTATAGAAGGCAGTTCAACTATACAGATAATATTTTATTTCTTAAGCAGCATTTTAGATTCATGAGTATTCACTGGTTTATTTCTTTATACCTTTTATGTGTCATAAATATTGCACAAAAATTTTCAAAGATGAACCCAGAAGAGGGGGGAAAAAAGATAATGATGTCTCTGGGAATGCACATCAGGGTTTTAAAATCGCTAAAATATTTAAGATCTCTTTTCCTATAAATATGGATGTAAGAAATAGTTCAGATTCAGGACTCCCCCATTTCCAGTGTGGTGATTTTGTGAGTGACATTTTTAAAACCATTTCACTTATTCCTAGTTTAAAATCTTTATCCAATGTTTATGGTCAAAAAAATGCACTTTTCAAATCATTCCATGCACTAAGCCCTGAATCTTCTACCTAAAGCATCACAACTGGTTTCACTGGGGACGATGGAAAATCACAGGAGGAAAGTCACAGGCACAGGGGGATGATAAAGAATTTTCAGGCTGAAGACACACTGGGATTGGCAGGGAATATGGGCTTGGAGTGGCCCCTGCTGACTTAGCATCTGGTTTGACCTGATGGCCATTGCCCTTGGACATGAGCTTAGAGAGACCCTCAATTGGGGTATGTTTTTCTAACAGGGAAACTGGCCTGGGACTAGGAGAACTACAATTTGAAGTCAAAATTGTCTTTGCTAATTCTCTCTCTCTCGCGCTTTTTTTTTTTTTTTTTTTTTAATATTTTAACTGCAGTGAAGGGAGCAATCTGACCCCAGCACATCATTACCCAGACTTCAGATTTAAGACCTATGCTCCACTGGCATTCCGATATTTCAGAGAACTTTTTGGTATCAAGCCTGATGATTACTTGGTAAGAACCTGTCGTTTTCCTTCCTTCTTCAGAAACGTGTGATCTAAACATTTGTCTCATAGCAACAGCGACAAGTCGTGTGTGTCTCTTATAATGCTCTGGAGCCTCGTAAAAGGTCCAAGTTTTATAATGATGATAAATTTAGCTTCAGGCAATATGATTTGACTCTGCAGCCCTTACTGATAACTACAGAATCTGCTATGGTAATTGATATTTAAATAACTGTGGTGTTGGTTGCTACGTCAGATCATTATTCTAACAGATATAATTAGTTACAAATACTCCTGTGAATTTTGCTGATTGCATTTTACTTGAAAGCCTTCCTGTTTTAATTGCCTTATTTATTCCATTCATCTCAAACCTGCCTTGGCCTGCAACCGTATTCACCTTGACCTACAATTTGAACAGCATTTTAAAGATGCTGGATAGGCTTGTTCTCAACATCTTTTGATGCAAGCTCTTTTTAAATGTATTTTTATTTGGCACAAGGGCATATCTTATCCTTAGAATTGTCATTTCTGTCCATCATCTTTCTGGCATGCAGCAGGTGTAACACAACAGCTTTTTTGTGAGGTAGTCTGATCTGACCTCCTGCTCGAGGAACCCGGAACTTCCTTTTTGTTTCAAGAGAAAAATGGTTTATTTCATAATTTGATCACTGTTAACACCCTGGGGCTCTTCACAATCGGTTTTCAAGAAGCTGTAGGAAGGATGCCATCAAATATTTATTGTTCGTCCTTTTCTGAATGATCTTAATAAGACTTGAGCCAGATCCTGGAATAAAGCTTTGCACGGGAAGTATAGCAACATTTATCACTGGGAACAGAGACTATCGAAACTGCATTGTATAATTTGGCTGAGATGCACATAATAAAATTCAAAGCTCATTCTCTTCTGCGCCGATGAAAACCTGCACATGACCCTCTTCTTTTTTTTTTTTTTTTTTCAGCTTTTATTGTAACTCCAGTTAACGTGCAGTGTTACATTAGTTTCAGGTGTATAATACGGTGATTCACCACTTGCATACATCACCTGCGGCCAGCACAGCAGGTGCACTCCTTAATCCCCATCACCTGCTTCCCCCACCCCCACCCCCACCCCCACCCCTCTCCCCTCAGGTATGACTCTCTTCTTTAGTTGAGCCCTAAGAAACTCCTATGACTTCTGCTCAGTGAGATGATACTGGCTCCTCAAGGCACATTACCAAGACTTCACAGGGCAGTGGGAACTGAGTAGAAAGTCCCTGGGCAGTCCTGCTCCCCTTAAATGTGTCCATCCAGGTAGCTTTCTGCCTCGCCACGCTCCTTGAGCTGTGATGTCAGGTGTCTCTACCCAGCATTACCAAACCTGCCCTCCCCAGCTACTCCAGTGCACGAACCCACGCGTGTTGGGGGTGGGGGGGTACTAGAGAAGATTCTTTGGTTTCTGACCATTCTCTCATTACTGAGTGTCACTGTCATTCAGGAAACATGTTGATGGAACTCAGTGGGGTCTTGATGCTGTTTTACTGAAAATGAGATTGTGCTCTCATCTGCCACATGTTAGAAATCAGTTGGGTTCTCCTTCTGAATTTCCTTGAGCTTCTGCTAACCGAGGAGATGGCATTTGCTTGCATTTCATAGCACAGATCCCGTCATTGTGATGAGATGGCCAACTGCCTCCCCTTCACCTGTAGGTCTGTCTTTGGCCCTCCTGGGGCCACTGAGCTACAGGCTGGGAAGGCAATTTTCGCGCTCATTCTGTCCGGCAAAAGGGCTTTCTTGGGGGAAGGCCTTTTTCTGATCAACGGGGCCCACGGCTTACAGAGTTTCCTAGTGCGCCTTTAAGCTGGCAAAGTTACTTTCATCATGGGGTTCGAGTGTGTACAAAGGAGCCCAGGAGACTAAGCTGATGGCTTTGCAGAGCAGAAGTCTTCCTTCATGGAGCTGGCAAAAGGTAGATTAATCGATCATCGCATACTTCGAACACTTAGGCCACGAAAATACTTTGCCACTGATTATAGGGAAATTTGAAAGTTAGAAGCCATGACCCTCAGGGAACTTAGAATCCAACCCGGCAAGATGACTTTGTGTGGGCGAAACATCAGTTCTACCAGACAGCAAATAAAAAGACCAGAGGGAAATAGCAAACAGTCCAGGATTTCAGAGGAGGGAGGGGGTCTCTCTCTGTCGCATGGAGGATTAGGAGGGCGTGAAATGGTTTAGCTCTAGTGACTTAGAAATTGGAAGGGATTTGAGTCGGAGGGAAAGAAGGGAAGTTGACTGCACATTCGATGATGTTGAGCAGTAATGTTTTTGGTGGGATGATGGTATTGGGGGTTCAGTTTCAAAAGAGGAGTCTTTGTCTTTTAGAGATGCATGCCGGAGTCTCTCTGGAGGAAATGAGTTGATGTCTGGGATTCGCTTCGAGAGACTTTGAGGGAAGCAGGCAGAGGAGGGATGGGGGTATAGTGGAAACAAGATTGGCCATGAGTTGATAATTGCAGAAGCCAGAAGAGAAGCGTATGGATATTAATTACACAATTCTCTTTGCTTGTAGGCAGGTTTGAAATTTTCCGTAATGAGAAGTTGGGGGGAGGGGCAGGGAGAAAAAGATAGGAACAGGCAGGTAAGAATGCTGTTCTTCGATTCCATTTTTCCACCTCCCGTATCAACACAGTCCAGTAAACGGACCCATCTCTGGGACCTACGAGAAACAGAGGGCACTGGCCCTCTAGCTAAACATGGCTACCTGGTCCCCAATGGTTATGGCCATCTACCTGCCCCGCACTGAGACACCCCCCGGGGACACCCCCAGCCCAGAACTAGAAGCTTACCTCCAAACCACTTAATCTGAAAACCCCAGCCAGTGATCTCAAGTGTGGTAGAGGAGGAAGGGGTTTTTCACCTGACATGACAGGCCTTCCAGAATTAGATACAACCATCAGACTTTTTAGTCCAACCGTTCATTATAGATGAACAGTCTAAAGCTGGGGTCGGTGAAGGAGGCGCCCAAGGTTTTCCACATTGGTAGGCGCAGACCCCAGACCAGACCTGGGATCCCCCAGCCCTCCCCCGGGCTCTTTCCCATTTCCCAGCTGCCTCTCAGCCCACTGAGTCTCAGACCTCTCATTAAATGTGTTCACAGCGTAAGACTCCCTCGACCATGAAACCAGCTGTGAGTATCCATTCTGAAGCACCTCCCCAACGGGGTCAGACACCCTTAACGAAGCATTTTTTTGGAAGAGTTAAGCCCAAATAAAACACAGTAAAATCAAATAAGACCTCCCTTAAAAAAAAAAAAA